GAAAAGAATTCCCATTAGCAGAGTTTCACATTGAGGAGAAATGGCTAGCCCTAGGTGCTTATCCATCACTGGGGGCTGCCTGGGAAGAGTGTGGCCTCAGTTCAAATGCTCTGTGGATCCCAAAGGTGCTGCAGCGGGACGCTGTCAGCTAACTGCACTCCTTCCAACTAACAGCAAGTGTTTTAGTGCATGGATGCATCATTTATTTATTCATTCCCCCATGAGTAGACAAGTTGTTTGTTTTCAAATTTTTGTTCTTACAGGTAATACTGCAATGAACAATCTTGTACATATATCTTTAAGCTCTCTGTTGGTAAAACTGTAGAACAAGTTTCTAGAAGTGGAATGGCTGAAACATGAGGTAACAAAATTTTTACAGATTCTGTCAATTGCCTTCCACAAAATTTTGCCAATTTTACACTCCCACAAATAGTATAGGAGAGTGTTCCTTTTCCCAGGACTTACCAACATGAGATGTTATTAGCCTTTTTCTTTACTTGCCAATCTGATGGTAGAACAATGATGTCTCATTATCTTTTTATTTTTTATTTTCCTACTCACTCAATAGTTTAGGCACGTTTCTATGTGTTTATGACGCATTTGTTTTTCTTCTTTACTTAATGTTTGATTTCCTTTGCTCACCTTCCCTTATTGCTTTGTTTTTAAAAGCAAGCATCAAACACAATTGAGGAGTTTCTGGGGGTGGGGAGAATGCCAAACTTGTATTTGCAGGCAAAAATTCTTGTTTTACCACAAAAAGTCAAGATGTGTTAGCTTCAGGATTCACTTGCTTTATTCTGATAACATTGGAGCTACAGGTGCAAAAAAAGAATGAACTATATTGTTTTGGTGTTGCTTTAGTAAGGGGAAGGATTTGGGCCTTGATAAGTATAAAGAGACCAAGAATGAAATGAAGAGCTGCTCCAGAAGGAAGCACTGTGCATGGAAAAACAGTGAGATGTAGCTGCAGACTAAAAGGAGAGGGAGGTCTTGCGTAAAGAAACTCGAGAGAGACTCTCACTGTCTATCTTCAATTCTCAGCAATGGCTTAATAGCCTTTGATTTCTCATCCTCTCTTCACCCATAATTACAGCCATGACTGTTTCCCCAGTGGTTTTTCATTAATTCATAGTGTTCCCACACACACTCATCATTTGTGTACCCTCCTCCTCAGTCAATTATTTCCTTCTGACTCTTTTAACTTCCCTGCTTCTGTTAATGAAATCACCCCCTCCCAGTAGTATAGGCTTAGAACTTGTTTTTCCCTTCCTCCTCCGATTCGACAAAGCCTAGAGATCCTACTAACAAAATGGCCCTTTTCGTGCTCTCTCCCCATTGCCCCAACACCTTTCCTCTTTGTCTGCCTATGAACTTCTATTCAACCTGTATAACTCAGGCATGTCACCTCCTCCCTCCAAGGAAGTCTTCCCTGACTGCTTTTTTCTTTGGATTATTTACATCTCATTCTCTCATCTTTGAAGACAGGGCCTATGCTTTTTTCATCTTTATGTCCCCAGCACCCATCATAGTGGCTTCAACATGGCTTCAACAGTTCCATGTTGCCTGCTCCAAGAATCCAAAAGTCCTCATACCAGCATTTAAGGCTTTCATGCTATAACCCTAATCTCCCATCTGCTCCTCCCTTTGGGTACTCCAGATGGCAGCCAGACTAAACTGGTCATTATTTCTCCACAATATCCCTGATTCCTACATCTGTGTTTTTGCTCAGGCTTAAACATCCTTCCCCATTGTCTACCAATAATTTGCCAAAATCTTGCTCATCCTTTTAAGGTCATCCCAAAAGCCAGTTCCCAGAGAAAGCATTCCCAAATCCCCAAGATAGCTCTTCCTCCAAACACCCCTGAGCACCATTAGCACCTCCACCGTTCAGTACGATTACTATCACCACCCACATGACACATTGATTGACTCTCTTTTATAAACTGTTTTTAAATGCATTTAATTGTAAGTTTTTTGCTCTGAGGATTAAATGAAAGTCTCATAAATGAAAAAAATAATAATCGGCCATTGTTTTCCATCACCCACTATTAGTCTGAGACACTTGAGAGAAGATGTTTTTGCACCCACAAAGGCATCTATCCAGTCCGGCTCCTGGCACCTAGCATGCTCTAAAAACCAAATAGAGATAATAGGCCTTGCTTTTCTCAATCTCTTCACCAATATTCCCCTCTCATTCCCAAAAGAAGGCTGTTCCATCTCTTAGAATTGTGTCACTTTCTCGGGGAGTCACTTTCTCCTTGTCTACCAAATCTGAAGTAGTTCCAGCTGATTATATTCTTCATGTGCATTTTCTTCATAGCCCTTATCTTAATTTAATGTATATGCTTAGTGTCCATCTGCTTGTGTAATGCCTGTTTCCCCCACAAGTCTGTAATCTCCATGAGGGAACAGATCATGACTATTTTGTTCTCTGCTGAAATAGCTAGTTCTTAAATAATCATTTGTCTGTTACATATTTTGTAAATATTTTCTCCAAGTGTATTGTTCATTTTTTAACTTTAAATATTCTATAGTCAAATTTGTTCATCTTTCCATCAAGGCTTTTGAAGTTCCTGTTATGTATATTTTTAATTGCTTCCTTGGAATATGTCCCTAGAGGTGGAAAAATTGAATAGGCATTTCTTTAAGGGTCTTTTTTTTTTTTTTAAATAAATTTTTTGTTTATTGCAGTAACATTGGTTTATAACATTGTAAAAATTTCAGGTGTACATCATTGTACTTCAATTTCTGCATGGACTACATCATGTTCACCACCAAAATAATAATTACAACCCATCACCACACATGTAAAGGGTCTTGATGCATTTTGTCAAATTGGACATGCCCAGCCCTCTGGCAAAAGTCTGACTTGCACTCTTAAAGCTCTACCAGCGGCCTTATGTTATTAGATTTTGCCAGGCAAGTTGGATAGAGTTCATTTAATGTTGGGTAAGCATGCCCCCGAAAATTGCAGGAATCAGGAGCCTCAAGCAAAGATGTTGTGTTCAACACTGTGTACAAGTGGGGAACTTTGGTACCCTCCCAGAGCCCATTAGCACTGAATCATTTGATAGTCCTCACATGGTTTACCTTTATTCAAATGAATGCACAGATTTGTCCATACCCATTGTCCCCAAATAACTACCTTTGCTTTACTGCTGTAGCAACTAGATCACTTCCAAGATCTGTGGTCATCCTGAGAACTGTCATTCTCTTTCTAGGTCACTCTCTAATCATGGTAATACAGAGTGTCTTAGCCAACTGAGTAAACAACTCGACCGGGCTATTCCAGCCCAGCTATCATAATTATTGCCAGTTATAACAGTTCCCATCATAGAGAAATGACATAGAAGAATGTAATGTACTGTGAAAGTAACCTGGTAAATATTATTGAATGGGATGACATGGAGACAAAAGTTTGGTCACCTCAGCTCACATTCAGCCCTTAGCCATCTCTATGAACATCAAATGACTTCACCTGATCTTTAATTATCCCAACACATACGGAGTAGTTCTGGGTAAGCCAGGCCAGCACTCAACAGGGCTTTCCTAAATTAGACCCGCCTGTGATGCATCATTTCCGTCACCTTTCCTCTGCAGATTAAAAAGTATAATTCTTTATAACGTATATTTTTAAGCCTATTCCAGATCCCACACAAAGGGTAAGAAAAACAAATGCATGCTTTCTTTTACTTCTATTCTTAGGATGTAATCCAGGAAAAAGAAGAGATTTTTACCTTAAATTTACTCGCTTCATCAGAGTTCTATTTTGTCTTTTAGTTTCTTGAACACATTTTTTTTGCTTCATTGAGCTATGCAAATATGCAGCTATGTAAATAATAAAGGATTCAGAGTACAAAAATATAAATCATAGTGGTATCAAAACCTATCTCCAAGTGGAGATGCAATTTGGAACTTCCCCCACGTTTCCACAACTGTTTAAGCTTGAGTAGCAACAAAGCAGGGTAGGAATCACAAAGATGCATCAGACATGGGCCCCATCTTCATCTCTTTCGGGGAAGGGGGTTCAGAAAGGGACAATATGAGAGCATAAATAGCTACAGTACATTGTAATGTCATAAGTGTCAACAGCGATACTTGGAAGGAGAAGAGAGGAGAGACAATCAGGAAAGATCTCCTGCGGATCATAGTTTGTGCTGGACATTTAAGGGTAGAACAGAATGTCTTAGGCAAAGATTTGGATTAAGGACGTTTCATACAGGCGGACAGAGTGAGCAAATTCTCTGAAGGGAGAAAAAGAGAGTGAGTCAAACTGACGAATTGATCCTTTTTAAATTTTGTTTTTAACTAACAGTTAAGCCTAATGGGGAAAATATACATTCATATTACTGGAGAGAAACAAATTGACGGCCCTTTACGCCCACAAGAAAAAGCAAATATATTTTGGGCAGCTCCTCAAGTCTCAGCAAAAGTAACTTCCAGTTCCTGACGTGTTGTTCACTCCTGGAGAAAATACTGGAAGAACTCTTTACGTGGTTCACTCCCTTCGCTGTCCAATGGAAGGGAAGCCCATGCTTTTGAACGCAGCTGATTGGCTACTGTAAAAGCCCCGCTCTGAGCAAGGACCAGTTGCATCACGGAGCCCAGATTCTTGGAAATAGTTTCCGGCCAGGAACGCGCGACATTGAAACAGCCTGTACTTATAAACAAGGACCAGTCTGGGAGGGACCCCACCGCACGCGATCCCAGGCCCTGTCCCAAATGGCTGATCTTGAGCCCACGGACGTCCAGATGTCCGCTTTGGCTTCCTCCTACCCCCTTACCCCTGACAGCCTCGGGCGCTGGTGCCAGGCCACTCCGCGGGGACCGCAGCCAGGGGGCGGGGTCCAAAGTTCTTTATCTGAGCTGATTGGCGCGGCCCCAAGTTCGGGACTCGACTCTAAGTCCCAGTGACTCCTCCCCGTTGGAGCTGGGGCGGGGGGTGGGGGGGTGTGACGGGGTCAGGGGGGCGGGGAGCGTGCGGGGAAACAGATAAAACCGCGGGTAGCGGCGGGCGGTGGCAAGACGCGAACTTGACTCTAGAGCCATTCACTGCTCCTTCGACTCACTGCCCGCCTCCTCCACCCCGAAGCACCTCCGAACCCCAGCCCAGGCCGCGGTGCCCGAGCCCGCCAGCACACCTGCCCTCCTCGCCCGGACGCGCCCCGCCCCCTCTTCGGTCCCAGGTGCTGCTCCTCGCAGCTGTCGCGCCTCAAGCCAGACCCAGCCCTTCCAGGGACGGTGGGGATCAAGATGAAGGCGGCCCGCTTCGTGATGCGCAGCGCCGGCTCGCTGAGCCTGGTCCCCCGCGAAGTCGAGCATTTCTCGCGCTACAGCCCGTCCCCGCTGTCCATGAAGCAGCTGCTGGACTTTGGTGAGCGGGGACGTGGGGCCTGGGCGGGGTTGGGCGGTTGGGGCTGGGGAGCTGCCTAAATTTTCAGCCCCGGTGGAGGGAGGACTGGGCTCATTGCTTAAAACAACTGAGATCCGCTTTCGTGCTGAACCCTGGAGCCTCGACGCCAGCGCACCTTGCCTTTTCCTGGCTCTGCCTTCTTGCTGACAGGTTTTGCCTACAGATCAAGGCCGCTTGCAGCCCCGCTGATGCTGGATGGTTTAGCTCAGCTTTCCTCTTCTTTCTCTCCAAAGCTTCTAGTCAAAATACTGTTTGCTTTCAGTTACCATTTAACAATGAACTAGAACTTTATCCCCTATTTCACTTCTGGACAGTACTTCTTGGAGAAGATTCCTAATACTATAAAGTAGCCTCAGATCAACTGAGATTTTATCCCTTAGCCACCCTCCACCCTCCACCCCTCCACAGGGTACATCTCTCTGCGTTCCTAACAAATTTCTTCGTCTCTTTGCCATTATAGTTTTCCATATATTTGCATTGCTGCTGAAAATATTTACAAACTTTCTGCAGTAATCTTATAAGGAAATTTTCAAGGATTTAAATGTGATATTATTTATCACTAGTCTAGAAAAATCACGGCTCCCACCCTCTCTCTTATCCCCCCTCCAATTTCAGATCTAGAACTCTGTGAACGATGTTATCTCGTTGACGTTGTGGTGTTGACTGAATCCCGCTCTCTTTTATGAATACTGAGAGCTGTGGGATAGTCTGACTTCTTGGAAGCGAATCCTCTTCAAAAAGAGAAAAGTAGAATTCTCACATTGGTCACTTCTAAAAAAAAGGAAAGAAAGAAAAAGACACTGAAGAAGAAAATACTCCTGAATTATCTATAAACAGTAACCCAAGTGATGGTGAAATATAATTTTGTAATATATGTGTGTGTTCAATATTGGACAGTTAATTCTATTCAAATATGTCATTTAGACATACTTTTTTCCAAAAACTAAATAAATGTATTTATTACAGGTTCAGAAAATGCATGTGAAAGAACTTCTTTTGCATTTTTGCGACAAGAATTGCCTGTGAGGCTAGCCAATATCCTGAAAGAAATTGACATCCTCCCTGATCCATTAGTAAATACATCTTCAGTGCAATTAGTTAAAAGCTGGTAAGTGGTGAACCATTCTAAAACAGTCTCTAGTTTTAAGACAGTTATCTGAGTATGAATTCTTATAATATATTAACATAATTGGAAAACAGGTGGTCTGAACAGTAAATACTTTTGAAAGATGTAAAGAATATTTTTATTAATTTAGAGTAAGTTATAATAAGGGCAGTTATAAAGCTATAAACAGGCATTTTTTACTCTGAAAAAGTAGATACTTTCACAATATAATTTTTACTTCCAGAGGAAATATGAGAAATAATTGACAGTTGCAATTTTAGTTTTGTATTTTAAATAATAAAAGACAGTTTGATATTGCAAAAGGAATCCTACCGTAGGAATTGATACAAATGACTACTATTTAGAGAGGGCCTGATCTTTGTTACTAACAAACAAATTGACAGAGCAGGCTCTGGGTTCAAATCCTGCCTCTGCCTTTTCTTAGTTATGGAATCCTTGGCAAGTGTCTTAAATTCTCTATGCCTCGATTCCCCCGTCTGTTACTGAGGAGAATAAAGTGTATGCCTCAAAGGGGCATTTGAATGTATTTGAATGAGGTAAGCCATAAAAAAGTACTTAGAACAGTTCCTGGCACACAGCCAGCACTCCGTGTTAGTTATCATCATCTCATTTTACAAATAAGGGTACTGAAGCTTAAAGAGGGTAGATAACCCACAGGAGCAGATTTTCAGAGAACACAGCCAGGATATGCACTGAAGCTGATATGCACCAGAGCCTCACCCTAATCTACTCACTGCACAGCTTTTTGTTCATTGACTCCAGAAGTATATGTACTATATACCCATTAAACAATTACAGTCTGAAACACATATTCAATCCACAGTATTTACTGCTGCTTTCAAGATTTCTTCTTACGTATGGATGGAGTAGGAAGAAGTATGAAGTCTTTCTTAAAAGTTGTTTCTAAATGCTTTTGCTATAAAAAATGATAACATTTGCCCAATAAAACTGAATAGTGATCTGGAATAGTTAAAGAAACATAAATTTTAAGTTGGAAAGTTGAGGATTAAAGTTGCAGCTTTTCTTTTTTTTTAGATGTATTATTTTCCAGATGTCTTGGAGGAAAGTTGTCATTTTAAACATAATACTTTATCTTTTCAAATCATTTGAAAAAGGTATTCTATTTTCAGGCCCTTGGATCTGACCATTTAATTTAAAACTTAAAGCACACCTGTTGCTTTACAGGTATATCCAGAGCCTGATGGATTTGGTGGAATTCCATGAAAGAAGCCCACAGGACCAGAAAACATTGTCAGAGTAAGTTTTGTGCATTAGAATAAGTGTCAAAAACTTTAACTATTTCCAGACATACTCCTAAGATTTTTTTTAGACCTAAATTAAAGGAACTCCAACCCTGAATAATTAATAATTACCCCTTTACAAATGACAAGTTTTGGCTTGTCAGTTTTTTAAAAGTGATAAAGAATTATGGCATTGAAAAATAATGCTGAGTATGAACAAGGGTAGAGGAATTGTTTTTTAAGGAAACCTATTTTTACTATAAATTTAGTCCAATGATTAGATTTGTTGGAGGACTTACTATTATGTAAGGTTAATGTATGTCACTGTCATTGGAGATTAAACAATTTCTTTCAGAGTAACTGACAGTTTAGTTTCTAACTATAAGAAATAAGAATAATTTATAAATCTTACAAGAAATTTTGAAAGTTTTTTTTACAATGGCATTCTAGAGTAATCTTCAATATTAATTATTTTTTAATTATTATTTTTTTAAAGAGAAGGCTTAATGAACACCTGGAATGAATACACCAGTCACAGAGCTGGTATTTTAATTTGTAAGCTAAAAGCAAAATAAATCTGTTCATGAAACTATCTTTCTACTGTAGTCAAAGAGTCTGTAGTGAGAGCCTTAATAAAGCATCATCCAAACATTTTATAATTTGATTTGTTTACATGAGTACTTAAGAAAAGCTTTAGCCTTCTTTGAAGTAATCTAAGAAATGTATGTGAATGAAACTTATTTGAATTTACACTAACTGTAAATGTGTTTTGGATTAGTTTTGTAGATACTCTCATCAAAGTTCGAAATAGACACCATAATGTAGTTCCTACAATGGCACAAGGAATCATAGAGTACAAAGATCGCTGTACAGTTGACCCAGCCACCAATCAAAATCTTCAGTATTTCTTGGATCGATTTTACATGAACCGTATTTCTACCCGGATGCTGATGAACCAGCACAGTAAGTTAGCTCATCATGGTCATGTTATCCAGTGATGGGTATAGAATATAAGCCATGCTCGAACTAGATGTTTCATTATTTGGTGGGTCACATTCTTTCTCAGTGGTAGTTTTAATCATTGTTATCCTGATTTTTATAACAATATTTTTTGTTTTTATTTTCCAACAGTTCTTATATTTAGCGACTCACAGACAGGAAACCCAACCCACATTGGAAGCATTGATCCAAACTGTGATGTGTCAGCAGTGGTCCAAGGTAATTTCTAGATTTCTGCATTTCCCTTATTGAAAATATACACTATATGATTGACATATCTATAGTTGAGATGACTTTGTGAATGAATTTATATTCAAAGTGTTCTGTTAATATTTTTGTAAGTACAGTCATGAAGGTTCTTTGCTTTTGAGACGAAGGAGTTTAAGCATTCATTTGTAATATTAAAAAATACAAACATCAATGGCTAATGTGCCATATTATTATATATTGTATTTGATCTCTAAAGTGTACATGTCTATTACTATAGCTATAACTTAAACATTGTCTTAATTTTTTCTTTAATAAAATATTAAAAAGCTGTTTTTTCATATACGTAAATCTGTACTCTAATGAATATTTTAGCTTAAGAGTTGTATACACACTGAAGATCACTTGAAAATTTTACTTGGCATAAATTCATTTCATCATTATGAAAAAAAATCTTCTATTCCAGATGCCTTTGAGTGCTCAAAGATGCTTTGTGATCGGTATTATTTAACATCTCCAGAGTTAAAGCTCACACAAGTGAATGGTAAGCTATAAATAAAATATATTTTAATCTATGGAAAATTCAGTGTTTTCCCAGTATGATTACTTCTTGTAAATACAAAGCAACTTCTGTGTTCCTTTTTTCCCTTCTGAACTTGCCTAGAATTTGTACACAACTTTTTTGGAAGCCAAGGTTCTTTTATCTCAACTGGCAAGTTCCAGTTGAGCATGTTTAGTTGCTAATGACGATTCAGAAAGAAGAATGATTTGAACAAATAATTCAGGATTTAGTGGAGCAACTAAGTTCCAATATCTTAGATGAAAGAAAGGTTGCTTACTACAGAATATAGGGGCTAGGAAGGCCAGAAGTAGGAGGAACCACTTGGTAGTGGAGCTGTCCTCCTGAAGAGGTCACTCATAAGACCTGGAAACAAAAATACTGTAAATTGTACTATAAGAAATAAACCAGTCACAGAAGGACAAATACTGTGTGATTCCACTTATATGAGGTATCTAAAATAGCCAAACTCATAGAAGCAGAGAGTAGAATGGTGGTTGCCAGAGGCTGGGGTGAGGGAGAAATGGGGAGTTGCTATTCAATGGGTGTACAATTTCAGTTATGCAAGATGAATAAGTCCTAGAGATCTGCTGTACAACATCATAGTTAACAATACTATATCGTACACTTAAATATTTAAGAAGGTAGATTTCATGTTACATATTCTTACCTAAAATTTTTAAAAACTACACTATAAGTATATAGCACTGTTTTGGAAGCAAAGCATACTTCAAGAGCTTCAACTCTAGAGTGTCTGAAAAAATAAAGTCTTCACATGGACTGAAGTGATTACATGATGAATGCAAGGCACTATTTTTATCTTATCGCACAGTTGTGTCTCAAAGCAAGACAGTTTACTTAAATTGAAATAACATTCTCCTTTCAATTCAAAGTAAACATCTATTCCAAGTAATAGTTATACAGGAACAGTGTTTGTTGGTGATGAAAGTTAAAATCAAGTTGCTCAAGTTGAGAGTAGCCTAACTCGGGGGCCGGCCCGGTGGCGCAGGCGGTTAAGTGCTCCGCTGTGGCGGCCCAGGGTTCGCAGGTTGGGATCCTAGGTGCACACAGACGCACTGCTTGTCAAGCCATGCTGTGGCGGCTGTAGAGGAAGATGGGCACGGGTGTTAGCCCAGGGCCAGTCTTCCTCAGCAAAAAAAAGAGGAGGATTGGCACATGTTAGCTCGGGGCCGATCTTCCTCACAAAAAAAAATAAAAAAAAGATTAGCCTAACTCATGGATTAGGGATATGCAAATATAATTTATTGCTAAACTAAAAACAGGAGTACAAATAGAGATTGAAAAACATCTCTAAGCAATAACAGTGTTGTTGCATAATACTTGTAGATAGACTGCTTGAACTGTTTGATAAAATAAAGAGGGAATTGTGTCAGACCTTGTGTTTTCTGATTCAAAGTTTGCCAAGGCCTGGGAGACCACAGAATAATACTTTTATTTTTCTTTTCAAATAGTATGATGAGGTTTTTGTTTCTCTGTTTTCTTTAGTCTCTTGGTGAAATTTAAGCATAGTTAGCCAAAAGATTTAATGTTTGGGTAATAAAAATCAAGAATAATCAGATGTGTTATTTTCCTGTACATTAAAAATATGAAAATTATAGCTAGCATTAATTTTGATGTTATAGACGCTTACATTTGTTTTTTCTTCTTCATTAAAATGTGTATAATTTTAACTCTGAAGTTGTTCAGTACAAAAGTTTTGAAAATAGAGACAAACAACCTATGTAATCTAATTTATAGCACCCTTGTTGCATATTTCATCTGACTTGATACATTTGTAGAGAAATGCAAAAATTAATCATAGAGCACTACATAGCAACTGTAACAGCATTTTGAAACTAAGCCAGTTGTGTTCACTGTTTAAGAGGTAGATTCTAGGGTAGAATTTTGGAGTGAGGAGCATGGGGAGTGTTCCAATCCTAAGTCTAAAAATATTAATCAAATAGATATGGACGTTTATTTTAGTGAAATGTTTGTTTACCAATTCTAAATGAGTTTAATTTTTTTCCAGGAAAATTTCCAGGCCAACCAATTCACATTGTGTACGTTCCCTCTCACCTTCATCATATGCTCTTTGAACTATTCAAGGTATGACACTTCAAAATAGTTGCAATTTTGTTTTTTAAAAAAAGTTCATTGGTTACATTTTTATTTCCTTCATCATTTCCCACTAAACAGGAGCCTCACTATCTTCTCCTAAGCATGCTTCTGTGCCCCTAACAGAAAGGTACAGTTAATGTTTGAAAGGGTACATGCAGTTCCTTGTAGCATCAACACGAATTTGAGAATGCACAGTATAATTCATGATGTCTCAGTGCTCCCTGTTCCCATTATTTTTTCAAGGGTCCAACAAAGCACTAGTCATTCACACATTCATTAAGGAAGGTCATGGGATGAATGCTTCAGGGAAAGAGGCCTTGTTACCTCCACCCCCATAGGCTGGTCCAACTCCAAATCCAGAGGTTCAAGTCCAGAATTACTGTAGGTGGCAGGGCCCTAACCTGAGTCTAGAATATACTCAGAGGACAGTAGATTCCTTCAATGATCTACTTTAATGTGCATGTGAATCACCTGGGTGTTTTGTTAAAATGCAAATTCTGATTCAGTGGCTGTGGGGTTGGGCTTGAGATGCTGAATTTCTAGTAAGCTAACAGATGATGCTGCTGGTCCACAGGCCACAGTTTAGGTAGTAGGCCTGTAGGGCAGTGCCTCTCAAACTTCAAGTGTGCATTAGAATCACGTGGAAGGCTGGTTAGACCACAGATTCTTAGGATCTGCCCCAGAGATTTTGATTCTTTAGGTCTGAGAATTTGCATTTCTAACAAGCTCTCAGAGGATGCAGAGTTACTGGTCTAGGGTAGCTAGGTGCTAAGAATCAAACCTTGTCTTGGGTTCTGAGACCAAACTAAAACTCTGTACTTACTCCAAAAGATAGAAAAACACCTGAAACTTTATGATGCTTCCCAAGAGTCCCCTGGATTGGAGAGGAGGAAGCCTAAAAAAAGTGAAATCTGCCTCTAATTCTGATATAACTTTCTCAGAATTTACTGTTTCCTAACTTATTCTAATGTTAGTGCAGTGAGGTATTGATTGTACTACAAACATCTGACCTGTTTTATTTCACTTTGGCTAATGATTAGAACTTAATATTGTATAGAAACCAGACAGCAGATAATCTACCAGAAGAAGGTTAGAGAGGAAAACGGGTGAATAAACCAAAACTTTATCTGTATGAGATTCATCCAGTTTTCTGAAAACTTGTCTGAATTTTTTCTCTGTTAAAAGACAGAAGATATTTTTTTGTTGATTTGATTTATTTTTAAATTGAATAGTCCAACTCACAGAGTTATTTTGCCATCATTGGTAAAAGTTAAAATGATAATCAAATGCAAATTGAAATTTAATTTAGAATTATTTACTATCCTTTTAAATAGTAACAACCTTTTCCCAGCAAATTTTATAAAAGCCAATAAATTGGTTCAGTGATTCACTGTTCATTTGTTATGCAATGGTCTTTGGTGCTTGGATGTAAAATGTAATGGAAAGACAGAAAAGAGAGAGCCAGGAAAAGGACTATAAAAACCAATTTCTACATTTAAATTAAGCTTACAAATAAGAACTTGACAGCCAGCAGAATTGTTTTTCCATTAGACATTACTCCCAGGAGCTATATTACATGGTAAATGAATATTTTTCATTATACATCCTGCATGACATATTCATAAATGGCAATTTACAGAGCTTTTTTACTACTAACTTAAAAAAAAACAGGAACTTTGAATTACCCTCTGTGCTGCTTTTATTTTAAACATAAAAAACAGTTATTTATTGTCCATCCTTCTTCTGCCATTGAATTCCTTATGGTTTTGTTTTCTTTAGAATGCAATGAGGGCAACAGTTGAACACCAGGAAAACCGGCCTTCCCTTACACCAATTGAGGTGATAGTTGTCTTGGGAAAAGAAGATCTCACAATTAAGGTAACCATTCTCTGTTTTTCTTTCGAGTCTCTCTTGAAAGAATTAAAAAAGAGTCAATAATAATAAAGCTTTCTGCTTTGAGCAAGATCAAAGTCATGTACACCAGGTGACTTTTAAATGAAGGATAGACATTTTTATGTAGACAAATGCACATTGTTTCTAATGTATAGCTCTGATGACTTGTTTGTTTGTTTAAGATTTCAGACAGAGGAGGTGGTGTGCCCCTGAGGATCATTGACCGCCTCTTTAGTTACACATACTCCACTGCACCAACGCCTGTGATGGATAATTCCAGGAATGCTCCTTTGGTAAGACCAATTATATGGCTAAGTTCATCCCAACCACCTAGTTCTAGATGTAGAGCAAGGATTACAAGAAAGTATTTAGGCAAGTTAATCAATTTAGTAAAATTGGGCATGGAGGATATGAGAAAGAATGATAAAGCAAGCTAAAAATGGTGAAACAATTCTACAAGGGGTGTCTGATTGGAAGAAGATATTTATCTAGCTTCTAGGACGTCAGTATCAGGGAGGATGAAAAAGAAAACTCCTTCCTATATTTTGTATTGCAATGACCATGTCCACCTCTTTACCAATAACTGATCTTTCCCCTCTAGGCTGGTTTTGGTTACGGCTTGCCCATTTCTCGTCTCTATGCCAAGTACTTTCAAGGAGATCTGAATCTCTATTCTTTGTCAGGATATGGAACAGATGCTATCATCTACTTAAAGGTATCCTTTAATTCAATAGAAAAAAACGCTATTTCGGAAAAGATTGCTTCTTTTACAGCCCTGAGTTCTATGGTCCACAGTGAATACCCCAAACTGAGTTAATGCAAATAATGAACACAAGTGGTTCTATTTTCTGTTGGTATGTGTAAATAGACAATTTAACATATAATACGGTAACTTACCAGCAAGGGAGTGGGGCCAGGCTACCTGCCTCAAGTGAGGCAAAATTGTTTCTCAAGAAACGTGTTAGTTTCTGAGTCAGAAGATGCTCAAGTGAATTTTTTAAGGCAACTCCTTTTGGCATCTGTGAGAATAGCTGTACTTTTGTTTTACTTAAACTTGTGGGGAATATATGCTAATAATGTTCCAGGTACATGTTTTATTTTTTTTAATTTCTGATAAAGCCTCAATTTATTTGTTAAGGTCACTGTCGTGATTCTGTTAATCATTTGCCAACTATTTCGACTGAAAATATATTTACAGATATTAGCAATTAAAACTTTAGGCTTCTAGACTCCCATTTTGTGCAAGGGAATTTGACAAATGGCCTTTGGCCACCTGAAATAGTTAATGTATTCAATCTTAAATAAGCAAAAGTCTTCAAAGTATTGGGAAAGATTAATAGATTATAGGTATATAGTATCAGATTTTAATAGATTAATGGTATCAGATTAGAACTCTCACTTTATCACAGACACAAAGGTTTGGCCTGGAAAAAACAGCTCTTCTATTCAACTTTATCATATCAGCAATATCCAGACAAGAGACATATATAAATATGGAACACGAATTCTACTCCCTAATTTAGAATTGTATGTACACTATTTCAGCCCCTATAGGGTGGAGATAATATTTATTTTTTAGTTTTCTTTTATACAATACCTAGCATACTATAGGCTCTGGTGTGCTCTTGTTACTAAATCAATTAAAAGAATGTATTTGAATGTTTGAATACTTAACCTCTGAATTTATTTTGAATAATCACTTTAAGGACAAATTATGCCATGAATAATTTCTTTGGTTTGATTTTTTTTTTCTTCCTCTTCTTTCAGGCTTTGTCTTCTGAATCTGTAGAAAAACTCCCGGTCTTTAACAAATCAGCCTTCAAACATTATCAGATGATGAGTGAGGCTGACGACTGGTGTGTCCCAAGCAAGGAACCAAAGAACTTGGCAAAGGAAAAAGTGGCCCTGTGAAGAGGGACACCCAGGACACTTTAAGGAATCAAAGTGGGTCCATACCAGTGCTGCTTCCTGAATGTTTGCGTGTGAACTTTTGTTTCCTCAAAAACAAACAATAGCAACAAACACTCCTTGATCAGAACACTGATGGGAAGAGGAACGGCTCGTTTCTGTGACCCAGGAGAGCATAGCGCAGGACTGCAGGAGTTACCAGATAGCCAGCTCTTTATTCTTAGAATAACTCATGAGTTTATATCAAATCTTGAAGAAGAAATAATCCTCATTTTTCCATGTCTTTATCAACAAGAATGAGAAAAGGAGCAAAATGATGATGTAGGCTAGCAGTTTCAATGGACTGGTATTTTAGGCCTCTGGTTGATGTCATAAGATATTGGTATTTATTGAATATCAAGTGTCAATACACCAGTATTTTCCTGCCATTCAAAGGATTGGGGCTTAGTTTATGCTCTGTGATTAGAAGTGTATGTAAAGGTACATTTTGTATTTGTCTATGCACTCTAGGGAGGAAAAGCTGGTGATTAAAATAACATTCACTTTGAATGAGGAAGAATGAGTCAAAACGTTTTATTCAAAGTTGCAGCCAAGGCATTGGGCCTATGTAAAAACTCAGAAGAAAGCCTCTTCTGATCAATGAAGTGCCTTTATTATGCTGCTTTTCCTGTTCACACTTCACATGATATGTGAACACTTATTGCCAGTTGCCTAGCCTTGGTGAATTTTGAAATATGCACTGAATTCAGGATGTTGGTGGTTGGGGGCAGAGAAGAATTGCCAAAGTGATAGCAAAAATATCTCTCACCTTGCTTTGTTTAGAAATGAAAGAGTAGATTGGAAGAACCAACGTTAGGAAAAGAAATCATGCCTTTAGAACCTAACTCAGTAGGAAGGGCTGTTCTCTACCTTGCAGTGGTGGTAATCCAAAGGCATCCATTTTCTAGGCTTAAAAAGATGTATTTTTGATATGTTTAACTATATTGTCTACACTCCAGCATTAACACGTCTGTAAAAAAATTCCTAATTATCTAATGGCTCAAGAACATTAGAATTTAATTACTTCTTGGAGTATTTTTGACAAATAGCCTGGGAGTAAGAGGTTTTCATGCCAAGATGCTTTCATCTGTGAATCATTGAGATTGAGAGCTAATGAATGAAAGCCGTATTGCGTATGGAACTTTTGGGGAGTTCAGGAATAATATGCAGGTTGACAGGCCATCCAGCACATTACTCTTAGAGAAAGAATGAAAAAACAAAAGAAGGAAAGAAGGAAGGATGGAAAGAAGAAGGAAGGAGGGAGGGAGGGAAGCAGGAGGCAGGCACCTTGCTATATTCACCACAAATTATTTCAAGAAATGATCCATATTTTCATGGATAAATTATTGGCAAGAGAATGAATTGGTGTCTTTCAAAACAATATGCCTTCTTTAAATGGCTGTCTCACTCTTGCAAGATGATAGGCTTTTATGAGATAATAAACTCATCTGTGTCAAATTATTTAAACCAGAATATAGAAAAAACTAGAATTTTCTGCACTGTAAAATAATCAGTACTGTCTACGTGTTCAATTTAACATTTGTGTTTAATTTTGTCATGGCTTAGTGTTGTGGTGCTTCTGGTAGTGGCCATAGAAGCCCCAAACTGTTTGTGGATTTCAGATTTTATCATCAGAAATCCCAGATAGTGACTTTTCTTGATGGTGGAACTCTGTCTCATACGTTTATTGATTACACAAAACTATTTGCAATAGGTTATTTGACTTTTCAGTTTTTACTGAAATTTAAACATTTTTACATGTAAATACTTGTATTTACCAAATATTTAAATCAGTTGATTATTAATTAACCCAAACATTGTGAACTATCTTTAAAACACTAGAGAAAAAGAAATGTTGGTATCTCAGTAACATCAACTGTGTAAATGGAGTTCTACAAAAGAGAAATAGTCTACACTGGTACTTGTGAAATCTATGGAAGAAGTTTAGGATTCTAGTAAATGGATACTGAATGTTCAGGCCCACTTAAATTATTAATGTATAAATTGTGTTTTTATCTCTAAGCTATGTACAAAGAAATGTGATCATTTTTATAATAAATATTTTTTATTATAATAGTAGACATAGTCTTTTGAAGTTCTTTTCTCAAATTAATGGCAAAGTACCAAGAAGAATTTAAGGTAAAGGTTTTCCTACCTTTACATTCAAGTCTAATTTATCTACATATTGGGTATAGCCTTTTGAAAGTACTGAAAGCAACTTAAAATCCTAATTTTTAAACAAAAGGTAAGTGCTTCACAGCAGTCCAGAAGTTTCTGATTGTCCTTTGCTTTCTTGTGTATGCCCCAATAACACATAGTACAATGTGTGTTTATCTACATGAATATATTCAATAATCATTTTTGCAATGCATGTATTCTCTACATTTTTTGGTAAATTTACTTTAAAATTTCACTTAGTGACTCTATTTACATAACTAATACAGTAAAGCACCAAAATAGTTACCTAGATAATTTAGGTTCCTAAACAACCTCTGGATTAAATATCTGAATAATAATAAGGTAGAAACAGGATAGAAATTACTAAATTGAGTGGTGGCATGTTTTATCTTTGCAATCTTCACACTGTCTTTCTTTACTAATTTAATCCTACTTTACTTTTAGACAAGATCCTTTGCCCACCTCCATAATGCCTTTATTGTCAAAATTTCGCAAATAAGAAAAGAAAGAAGGGAAGGAGGAAAGAAGGAAGGAGAAATTAGAATAAAATTAGTGGAATGAGTTTGCCATAACTAAATTCTAAAATTTTGTCAGAATAATCGTATTTGAATCAAAAATGCCATCAACCTAAGGCATCAGACCGCAAAGAAGCTGTTCTAAAGCCCTTCATCTGTGACACTCTCCTTTACTTGGCTACCATCATTTCCTCTTCTGTCAGGAAAGTACAGCACTATGTGTGTAAAGGAAGCACATACGCACATGCACACACGCAAACGTACACGCCCACGGGATTTGGCTGTATGGTTTCCTTGGATTAAGCTGCTTGAGAGGTAGGGAGTTAGTGCACCCCACAGGCTCAGAACCTTCATCCACATTTTCAAAAAAGCTGCAAGTCTTCAAGTCCCACAATTCTCCATGTATGCACACACACATCTTTGGCTCAAGTCAATGTGTGTACTCCAAAGGATACTAATTTTCAAGTTCAACAAAGTGTGCTGAATTTTCATCAAAACTATCTTTATACCATTTCTCCCAAATTTCTAATTTGGCTAAAAATAGTAACAACATTTGATCTTAACTACAATGACACGTGCAGAGAAAGATCATTGTAAGCTAGTAGCTTGGGCATTGACCTTGATAATTTCCTTATTCTCCTGCTACACTTCCAGGTACTGCACTTACACTTAGATATATACCAACACTGCAAATGTCCGTGGAATGTCCAGGTCACTTTGGTCTGTCCTGGTGAAGGAACTGAGGGACTTTCGTAATTTCACAGAAGCCTATGCAAGTCCCTAAGCCCCCACCATGGACACTTAGAGCAATACGATTCTATCTCCATTAGCATTCTATCGATGTATCTCTTTTTTGTCTTTTTCACTTTTTACCTTACATCACAGTTACTTAGGCACTCAATAAACATTCCCTGGATAAAAATATGACTAAACAAATAAATTTCTGCCTTTAGAACAGCATCCTTGCATTTAAGGGCAGATTGGAACTCTGTGTTAAATAGTGTACGTCAAATTTTATAAGATTTTATGGTTTAAATGATATACAAGAAGTTTTACAACATTGCAGAAACTCTGGAATACTTTTCCAAACCAGTCAAATTGCAACTAATCTTTGCTTAATGTCGCTTTCCATTGGTGGCCTTTGGCCATTGGAAATTATCACATATTTCAAAAGAAATTAAATGATGGGTAAAAGTTATTACTACTAAGGAAATTTCTTGAGCAAATGGGTTGGTGTTTCAGATTTTATGAGTGTTCTTCCTTCTTGTTCACCTTGGACTCAGATGAAAAAATATTACCATCTATATTTCATGGCCCCTTAATGGAAATAAGCAACTGTCTTTTAATGAGATTTTTCAGTTCCTGCCCAAGTGCAAATAAACGTTAAAAGCCACTCAAAACCAACAGAAATGTCAGTAGCCTTGAAAACGTGTTGAATCTACTAAATGATGTGAAAATGATGTGAGCTGTCTTAGTGATAAATCCAGCAACAAAATGATAAAGTTTATCAATGAATTATGAGATATCATTTTCATGTTTACTGCTACCATCTAATGTAATGAACACAGGACTGGTTGTCAAATAATGCAATATAGCTGGGAATTATTTATTAGCATACCATTTTCCATAAATGTAAAAGATGATTTAATATCTAAGACAAATAGCATATTGAGTGGCAAAGTCTTGAGTTTTTTATCAATTCCATTAAAACTAGGCCCTTTAATGTGTTTCTAGCCCCCAAATATACTTTGCTATTTGGTACAATTGCCCTTAACTCAGTCTTTTTCTTTTACATTCATGTTTAAGGATAACAAAATTTCTTTGAAATTACAAATTCATGATCTGAAATGAAATAAAAATTTGGAAATAAAAATAAAAACCTTATACAATGTTCTTAGGCAATTCTCTTTACCTCTTTGAGTCCTAGTTTTCTTTTCTACCTAAATGAGATCTAGTTGTTTAAGGAAGGCTCTGTTAATTCTGAAGTCTTTGAATCTATATTTTCTAACAATTCTTTACTGAATACCCTGCTCCCAGTCTCTCTTCAGTCCAAACTAGGCTTCTCATAATATCACTGTCAAGCTCAAAATCCTTTGCTGGCTTCCCAGTGCCTAAGAATCTGATATTTACAGTTTTCTACAATCCAACCTACATGACCAATATTACAACTTGTATCTTCCATTACTGTTCAGTATATTGTCTTCTAAATATGCAGCAAACCTATTTCCTTTTGTTCATTGTAAGTATGCCTGCCAGAAATGCCTTTCCTCTCTTCTCTGTTTTTTTCTAAATGCTGCTCAACCTTCTACACTCAACTCAAATCCCACCTCAATGGACTGAGCATCCCAGTCCAAAGTGCCCTCTATCTCAGCTTCCTTCTCTAAACTCTCACATGGTCACGACCATTTTAGTATTTATCACATAATTCCTGAGGTTGCTAGTTAAATGTTATAGAGAGATATAAAATCCAGAAACCCAAATAGATTGTGTGCTCCCTGCCATCCAGGACCATGAATTACACATACCTATATAAAAACCATGATGTTAAGCCTGTCTAATGTATAGTAGACATCAAAAAATATTTCTTGATTAATATATTTTTGATGAGTTAGGAAGATGGGGAAAAGCAATAGAACAACTCCTGGTTGAACAGATTATTCTATTGATCTAAAACCAAAGCCACCCACATTAATATTTTTAATGGCCCTCAGCATTTCTTCTTAATCTGGGAAGGATCTATGTTTACTTCCAGATGGAAAATGGCTGTAATGTATACATACAAACCAACTTAAACTTTATATTTTAGGCTTAAAATTAGGTATTTGCCCTCAAAGACCTTAGAGTCCTATTGAAGAGTTAAAAAGGCACAAATATGTAAGAAGTTAAATTATGATCAAAGATTTTAATAACAGTCAACAATAGAGGAGATGTCATAATTCCTAATATACATAGCCAGGCAAATGCAATGACATTAATTGCTATAGAAATTTAAAGAAGGAAAAGTGATTTCAAGCTAGAGTGAGTAGACGGAAAGAGGACAATTTATGTAGGGGAAGTGGGAAGAAGACCATGAAGAAAGTATCTGGAGAGTAGGTGGGAAAGCTAAATTGGGGCTCAAGTGAAGATAGTTTGAATGTCTGGATGTGGTGCCTGGGGCAAAAAGGAGCCATTTACCAGGGTAGCAAAAGGATCAAAAGAGTTCTGTTAACTAAAATCTTAAGATCATGTCTTACACTGTCAGTTTATTTACAAAATACAATGCAGCAATCAGCACAATTTTCTTAAATGAGAAATGAATTTAATATTCAAATAACTAAAGAGATCGTCTGTGGTATGTTGGTTGATGAACGAAAACAATGCATTTTCACGCAAGTGTCATAGTGGTCAGACATGTAGACTGTGGAGCCAGACTGCTTAGATTTCCATCCCAGCTCTGCTACTTAATAGCCATGGGAAGTTACATAACGTCTCTCTGCCTCAGTTTTCTGATCTGTGAAATGGGGATAATATTATAGCATCTTCCTTATAGGGATGCTGTGAAAATGCTGAGTTAATATACGTAAGGCATTTATAACAGTCCTTGGCATATAATAAAGTTTATATAGATATTAGCTATTTTATCAATAATGTTATTTAAGTATTAGATACTGGATCCTTATATTAAGTTCCTATACAAATGAGTTGCTAGCAATAAAAA